GCTACCAAATGAAGACATTGTCCTAGCTTTTCTATCCTTTCTCCTAATGAGGAGACCAATTAAATCAAGTATTAATTATGAGATTCAGTAATAAGGGTAGTGACAGAACTTAAGAGGGAGTGATGGGAGCAATAAGGACAAGATAAATATAATTGAGTAGTGTAGGGAAGGGGAATAGGATTATCATGTGAACTGTGCATTAGCTGGAAGAGCCAAAGTTAGTCATTTCTAGCTGCCATTTATTGATCATTTGCTAAATATGTGAAAGACATTGAGATAACAACTTTGTGTTCCTTATCTCATTAAATCTTAAGAAACTCCCCAGGAGGTATATACTATCACTTCACATAATATAGATGAGGAAGCTGAGGTGGCAGAGGTTAAATAATATGCCTAAGGTTATATCTCTAGAAGGGGCTAAGGCTCGAGCCAATGTCTGACTCCAAAATATGTGTTCTGACATATTCACCAAGAGAAGGGTCATGGCCTCTACATATGCATATTCATGGGATTTCAAGAAGGTCATTATAATTGGACCTTAGTTTGGAAATGAGGAAGGACAGGAGGTGGGGCTTGACAGGGCCTTAAAGGACCTAGTTTGTATTCCAGGCTAATAAACTTAACAATTTAGCCTGACAAGAGGGAAGGGGGTTGTTAAAGTGTAGTGATCAAAAGAGTGCCCATTTGCATTTAGAACATTTGTTTCCAGAACTGTGTGAAATACACTGGGGCTGGGATTGGGAAATGTTGAGGCTGGAGTCAGAGAGCTAATTCACTGGCAGTAGTTCAAGGGAGAAAAAAAGGAATGTCTCATTCATACAACTTGCATTGCATTTAGTAACTATTATATAGGCTGAGTCCACCAGAAATATCCATGGCTGAAAAGAGGGAAGAATCCAGCATGATTCTTAGGCCCAGGTCTGGTTGACTGATAGATAATAGAAAATACCTTAGGGAGGTGAGGATTTGTGCGGAGGATAGGAAGAGGGAAAATTGACATGTTGACTTTGATGTAACAGTACTAGGTCCAAGTAGAAAGCTCAGCACACAGTTGGCTTTCCCAGGTCTTGAGGAGAAAGGTGTTACCTGGATAAATAAAAGTGTGTAGGTAGTTAGAACCATGAATATGTGTAAATACTGGGGAGGGGGAGGCAGTGCTGACTATGACGCCTTTAGGAACACTAATATTTATTATGAATCACAGAATAGGTTTCAATAAGGAAAGGAAGCTGGGATGGGTGAACAGAGCAGTAGAAGGAAATTTAGAATCCAGAGATCTAGAGGCCAAGGGACAGGCACAAGGAAGGAGCTGCCCACTGGCTCAAGAACTGTAGAGAAGCTGAGATAGAAAGTGAACCATACAGATGTGATTTTTCACAAGGGATTGCTGGTGGCTTTGGAAAGAGCTGTTGTAGTGAAGCTGAAGGTCAGAGATGGCAGCCAGGTGGCAGAGACTTAAGAAATGAAACAAAGTGAAGAAATGCTTCTAGGTTACTTTGTGTTGCTAGGGACAAGAGAGACAAAGATGAGAGATTTCCTCAAGTTGGTGAATATTTGACATGTTATTAAATGTTTAAAAACAAACAAAAGCAAAACCTATGTAAATGGAATAGGGGCATGTGGGAGGCTGATAATCAACTAGGAAAGTCCTTGAGGAGATTGATGGGTGGGGAGGCAAAAATAGAAACTACCTCTTAGGTAAAGGGATTCATTTCTGAAGAGGAGAAATGGGGGTGAGAGGAGAGGGAAGTGTGGATTGCTGGGGTTGCAGGTCAATTTTAAGGTGAGGATTAGAAGCTCTGGCTTCTCATCTGGCATCATTGATGGACTCAATCTGAATTAAGAAATAAGAAGAGAGGGCTGCTTTGGAGAGTACGGAGTAAGTTGCTGCAGAAGGAGGGTGATTTAAGAGCTGTTACAGAGGAGAGAAACTTTACATGGAACATGTTTAGAAGGATTGAAGACCACCCATGTGAGCAGGGACTATGACACTTTTCCCAGGTAGCAACACAACACACATTTTCTTAGAAAACTGTAAGACTGATTCCTGTCCTCTCCTTCCCTTCTAGAGCACGTTGCTCACAAAGGAAGGATCACACTTACATAATCCTGTGCTATAAAAAGTGCATATCATCCCCCCAAGTCAGAATTGGAAGCTTTGAAAATATAATTCACACACCTCCTCCCTCTCCAAACACTGAATCCACATACCCTATCACTATGTTTCAGATCAGTTAATTCTCAATAAATGTTTGCTACATTTTTAAAAATTATGAGCCATATATTGAGCCTTCTCTGCAAGCACATGTTGGCCGTTTTCAGGACTGCGGAAGGAGATGGTAAGGTTGGTTGTTGGTATTCAAAGAGATTGTAGATTCTAATATATTTGGCTTTTAATTGAAAATAATTTTCAATTTTATTTTTAATTTATTTGTAACTCTGGCATCACTGATGGTTGTATTAATACCTTTATATCTGATTTAGACTGCTATAGGCACATCTTGATTTTTCAGAATTTTCTTACTCATGTTAGTTATTTGTGTTTCTTTATTTGTTCTGTTTTAATCGTTTTCTTCACGTTGCTGTTTCATCAGAAGGCAGTAGGTAAAAGAGAGAAAGCCCAAATCAGATAATTTTATTACTTATAATATTTACATAAGTCTTTATAGAAGATGAATTTGTGGTTAACAGCTGGTAGAGTGATATTTTTGGGCTACTCTTATTTATTAATTATAGTGCAATGGTTATTCAAGTTATGGCTTATGGAGGTGAATTTTATTTGAATTTTATTAAGAGCACTAATTCTATTTAAATGGCTTCAGCTTTTAGATTTCTGTATATTACAAAAGAAATAATGTAGTGCAATTAGCACTTCCTGTATTCTGCAGGAAATCCATTCCTTAAGCATAAGTTATGAAATTGTTGAATAGCAAGCTAGCAAGATGGTCAGACCATCTTGGCTTTTAAAGAACATTGAGAGAAAAGACACATATATAGGCAATCAGTAATGCTGAAATGAATTAGTGAATATATGCAATTGGTCAACATCCTTAGGGAAATAAAATGTAATTTTTCAACCCTCTTTTCTACCCGGCGGAAATCAGTTGCAGAACAAAGTTTATTTCTCTCTCTATGGACAGGAGTAATTTGCATTACTGTCTGAGTTCTACAACTTACAAAACACAGTGAAAGGCACAGGCCCCTACAAAATCAAATATTCCCAAGGGATCTGTCAGAAAATGCCCAGATCCCCACTGAAAGAACACTATCTAGTCCTTTTGTCCATTTCAAAATTGTGCACCATATTTTCTGACATTTTCCTTCTTTTCTAATTCCAACATCAAAACCACTTTCTTCTCTCCTTGTTGTACACTATAGCCGCTCCCTCAATGCTTCATTGTCAGGGGAAATAACTCAGAACCCCATGATTTTGAAAAACACAATTGGAAATCCAGGTTTTGCCTGGGGCTTCCTAGTACGGGGATGGCTAGAAGAGTAGAGAACTGGGCAGAACTGAGCTTGTGAACCATCATTGGTTTAGATCATTGTGTAAAAATGCTGTTTTGCCCAGTTTTTAGAGTATTACCTGCATATGTACAGCACAGCATTTGTGAGAGGGCACTTGTCCATGTATTTGCTCCTTTGATACTTGCCACAATTCTGTGAAGCAGTCTGGTGTTCATTTCTGATCCTCTTACTTGCAGAGAGTAAACCAAGGCCTACAAAAGTTACGTGAATCGCTTAAGGTCACACACTGACAAGGGACAGGTAGAATTTGTACTCAGGCTTTCTGAACCTTGTTCAGTTCATATTTCACTATGCATCCTAGCATTCAACTCAATGGGCATTTATCAAATACTATGTTCATAGAATAAAAACGTGTTATGGACCTGAGTTTTATTCCCAATTTATATAGAAGGACAAAATTATTAGGATGAACTATTAAAGCTGATATTTATATTTGTTAGTGCTTTGTTTTTGTTTTTTCAGAGAAAATTCAACTAACTACTTAGAAGAGTTAATAAATGACTGAAAATATGGAAGAGCACAATTTTTCCACAATCTTGCACATTTTAGGTGAAAGATGCAATTACCTTCCCAATCCCTATTTTGTAAGACAACTGGTAGTTTATCCTATTGAGAAGTGTTTAATAGACTATTACTACTTATTAGCAATATTTGTTCTTGATTTTGACTGTTTCCTTGATTTATTTTGAGTGGTTTATGGTTTTTAGGAGGAAGGAATACCTGTAATATACACATGGAAATTGTTTTTTCTATAGTTTCAATGAAATGTGGGAGTGAGAAAGTCCCTTTCAATTGTATGTATCTATTTATAGTATTTGCATACCAAATGTCCATTGCTGTCTGTGTTTTGCAATGCGATATAGCCAAAGAATATGTTCCTTAGCATTCTAAGACTTTCCATCTTCGAGAAAAGATACAATGTGATCCATTGATTTACTTTTTATATTAATGTACAGTATAGCTCAACACATTCCTTTGAAATGCAACATAAATATATAGATAAACTTCATTTGGGTTTACCAAGTTCTGTTTGGAGGCAGAACTTAGAAGTTGAGACATAATATAATATTTGGTTTGATATTCTGTTCACAAATTTTCCATGGTAAGAACAATATTTTCTACATACATCAGTGAGCAACAATGATTACTTCAAACTTTCTGAAGCCAAATACTACACCTGCATGTTCCAACACAGGTTGCTGAATTTATTCCCAATACTCTTGGTAATGTACACTGTGTATTACTGAGAATGAACAAGGAAAAGTTACAATGGTGTCTACCATCTGTGCAGGTTGATATTAAAATAACTTGTTTCACTTTTTCACCTGGCCTGCCTTCTCTCTGTAGCTGTACTGCTTACTTAAGGGGACAATGGAAGTGTTGCTCTTTTTATCGTAAGGATTTGAAACATACCTAAGACCTTACCCTATAGGATTCCATAGTGAAATGAAACTATTTTCTTTTTTTTCCAGGTTCAGCTCAGCTATTATTTACTACAATCAAATCTGTAGAATACACCAATGACAATAAAACTATTCTCATCCCATGCTTAGTCACTAATGGGGGGGCACAGAGCCTTAGAGAATTGTTTGTAAAGTGGAAATTCGGAAACAAATACATTTTCTTCTATGATGGAGATAAAAATGAATCCAGCCCCAACAGTAACTTTCCGAGTGCATACATCGTACCAGATGCACTACTAATAGGCAATGCCTCTTTGATGATGGACAAGAGGGATGCTGTCCCAGGAAACTACACTTGCGAAGTAACAGAATTAACTAGAGAAGGCGAAACCATCGTAGAACTAAAATATGTTGGTAAGAATTTTATTACCTTCCCTTTTATTTGTCCTGCAGTAGCCTAATCCTATTAGAAATGGGGCACAATGGGGCTAGGAACTCCTTTGAATCAAAAAGTAGTTTATGACTAATAAATAGTTACATAATATTTAGCAGCTTTAAGATCATGAGTTTTACTTGTTCTTCTACTTTTCATAATAAAACTCCTTAGCTGTTTCTAATTTGTGTATTTTCTGGTTCTCAACGTTTGTTCTAACTGTTCTACTGGTGTGGGGGTCCTGGCATCATTTAATCTGTATTTCTGTTTGCTGCTATCAAAAGTACTATCTTTCATGTGATTAATTTTCCATGATCTTTCCAAATATGTAGCTTTTTTTTTTATCACCTGCACTTTGGTCAAGGACTGACAAATCCCAGCCATACTACAGCTGGAAAGAGTAGATTAGGAGGAGAATCACAAAATCAAAATCAGGTCATAATGATGTTTCCTTGAGGTTTCCTGCTATGGTATTTGTTCTTTTTCTTGAGGGAGAGCTAGGGATCCAATAGAATTAATTTGAATTCAGCCTTGGTTATAAAGGGTGTCCCAAAATTCACGCAAGAAGTAATGTTGATAGAAAACACAGGTTTGTAATTAAAAATTGTAAATTTTTTATTGATTCATAAAGTATACAGTATAGGGTTATATATGGAATAGGATATTGGGTAAATGGCCTCCACAGCTTTGCTGGCACATACACAAAT